CCTTGGGTTTCCAAGGCAGTATCACTACGGAAGTAGGAATGCCCAACCTTCCTTCTGAGGATATATATATATTTATGTTAATGTGTTAACCATAACCTAAATTAGTCTTCAATATAACACTTGATTTTCAAAATTTTATACCCTAATTTCACAGGAGATGGAAGGCACCTTAAAATTTTGTTTCTAAAAGCAAAAAACGAATTTTGTTTCTAAAACTTATCAGATGATCATCTATCTGTTTAAATATTTATAGAGAATGAAAATTAATTACACATAGAAATTAATTCCAGTTTATACTGTTAAAAAGTTGGACAAAGTCTGTCTCCCTTTAATTTCCACCTTAAAAGGTCCAGTTCTGACCTTAGATCTAACATAAGGGAATTTTAATACTACTTTTGCCAAATGATAGTTCTTTAGTTACTTGAAACAGCAATCTCGTCTTCCCCATATTTTTCTTGAGTTGAATATTGATAGCTCTTTCAGTGTTTTTTGTTCTGGTCTCCCTCCTCCACAGGCTTTTTAGTTGACTGGTGAATTTCTTTCTATGGTACTTAAACTAATTATAGTTAATATGAACTAAAATATGCAGAGCATTATTTTGTTTGAGACCAGTTGCCATTGAGTTGATTCTGACTCACAGCCACCACACGTGCCAGAGAAGAGCTATGTTACATAGGGTTTTCAGTGGCTAATTTTTCAGAAGTAAACTACCAGGCCTTTCTTCTAAGGTGCCTCTGGATGGAATTGAACCTCCAACTTTTCAGTTAGCAGCTGAGGGTGTAAACTATTAGAGTATCATGAACTTACTTAAAAATCTTTAGAGGCCTAAAAAATGAGCTGAAATTTGTGAAAATATGGTGGACTTTGTGGGGAGCCCACATGTAGAGGAAGAATAAGTAAGGGATAGGATCACTGTCTAAGAAAGATATTGTCATATTAACCATTGACAAGAGGTTTATTTCATTTGCCTCCATAAAGAGAGTGATTTTCCACAATGGAATGTTTTACCCTGTAAAACAAGTATAGCATAAGAGAATGATGAACTAGAATGAGAATACCAACCTCTTTAGGCCAATTCAAGTCAGAGTGCTGGAAGAATTAATATATTTTTTTACAAAAGTAGTCAGTAAGGGTCAGCTTTGTTGTTGTTGTTATTATGTGCCATCGAGTCGGACCCGACTCATAGCGACCCCTCCTTGGGTTTCCGAGGCAATATCATTATGGAAGTAGATTGCCCCATCTTCCTTCAGAGGAGTGGCTGGTGGGTTTGAACCGCCAGCCTTCTGGTTACCGAGTGCCTCAGGTACTATGCTACCAGAGGGTCAACTTGGATTTAGTAAATTTAAGTTATCCTGAATTGACCTATTTTCTTATTAGGTTGTGGTATTAGTCTGTTAGAAAAAAAGAGGTGAGTTTCTAGATTGCAAATTATGGAACCGCTTACTGCTTCTGAGCTTGTAGTAATTCACCATCAGAGAATGGTTATTTATAACAAAAATTAGGGAAAATATTAAAAAATAGGGGAATAAAAAATACACTATGTAGTTCTTTTTATCCATTGGAATACTATATAGCCATTTAAACTTAAAATGGCTATGTTAAGAGAAGAAAAATTTTATATGAATTAAGAAGAAAAAAAATACAAAGGTATTAGCACTGTTTAAGACCATGTAGACATTTAGTCTACCACTCATCTGTCAGTATTTCATACTGTGGTGGCTGTGTATTGCTGTGATGTTGGAAGCTGTGTCACTGGTATTTTAAATACAACCAGGGCCATCCATTGTGAACAGATTTCAGCAGAGCTTCCAGATTAAGACAGACTAGGAAGTAGGATGTGGTGATCTACTTCTGAAAAAATTGGCCACTGAAAACTTTGTGAATAGAAGTAGAACGTTGTCTGATATAGTGCAAGATGAGCCTCTCAGGTTGGAAGGCACACAAAATATGACTGGGAAAGAGCTAGCTGCCTCAAAGTAGAGTTGACCTTTATGACATAAATGTATTAAAGCTTTTGAGATCTTCATTTGCTGATGTAGCATGACTCAGCATAAGAAGAAACCAGCTGTAAACATCCGTTAATAATTGGGACATGGAATGTACAAAGTCTGGATCTAGGAAAGTGGAGAATGGTGAATAAAATGAAATGTAACATGTAAAGATTGATATTCTAGGCATTAGTGAGCTGAAATGGACTGTTACCATTTTGAATCAGTCAGTTATATGCCAGGAATAACAAATTGAAGAAGAATGTTGTTATATTCATACTCAGAACATTTCAAGATGTATCATGAAGTACAGTGGTGTCAGTTATAGGATAATATTCAAATTTACACACCAACCACTAAAACCAAAGATGAAGAAATTGAAGATTTGTATCAGCTTGTCCAGTCTGAAATTGACCAAACACGCAACCATGATGTACTGATAATTATTAGTGATTGGCATTTGAAAGTTGCAAACAAAGAAGAAGCATCAGTAATTGGAAAATATGGCCTTGTGACAGAAACAGTGCTGTAGATCGCATGATAGAATTTTGGAAGACCAACGACTTACTTACTGCTAATACCCTTTTGAACAACATAAATGGCGACTATATACATGGACCTTGCCAAATGGAATACACAGGAATCAAATTGACCACATCTGTGGAAATGGGCAATGGAGAAGCTCAGTATCATCAGTCAGATAAAGGTAGGGCTGATGTTAGACTAGATCATCAATTACTCCTGTGCAAATTCAAGTTGAAGCTGATGAAAATTAAAAGAAGTGCATAAGAGCCAAAATATGACCTGTATTATATTCCACTTGAGTGTAGAGACCACCTGAAAAATAGATTTGATGCACTGAATACCAGTGACTGAAGACCAGACAATTGTGGGATGATCAGGGACATCATACATGAATAAATCCAAAGGTCATTAAAGAGACAAGGAAGAAAGAAATGACCAAAATGGATGTCAGAAGAGACTCTGAAACTTGCTATTTTACATAGAGTAACTAAAGCGAATAGAAGAAACGATGAAGTAAAAGAGCTGAACAGAAGATTTCAAAAGGTGACTCCAGAAGACAAAATGAAGTATTATAATGAAATTACATGTAAAGAACTGGAGTTAAGAAACCAAAAGGGAAGAGTCTGATCATCCATCTCTCAAGCTGAAAGAACTAGGGGGAAAAAAATTGAAGCCTCAAGTTGCATTATTGAAGGATATTCTGGGCAAAATATTGAACGATTCAGGAAACATCAAAGGAAGGTAGAAGGAGTACACATTATGCCAAAAAGAATTGTTTGATGTTCAGCCATTTCAGAAAGTAGGATTTGATCAAGAACTGTTGGTACTGAAGGAGGAAGTTCAAGGTGTGCTGAAGGCATTGGCCAAAAACACAGAGCTCCAGGAATTGATGGGATATAAACTGAGATGTTTCAGCAAATGGATGGAACATTGGAAGTACTCACTTGTCTATGCCAAGAAATCTGGAAGACAGATACCTGGCCATCCAACTGGAAGAGATATATATTTGTGTCCAACCCAAAGAAAGGTGATCCAGTGGAATGTGGAAATGATAAAACTATATCATTAATATGCATATAAAATTTTGGTGAAAATAATTCAAAAACAGTTGCAGCCATATATAGATAGGCAACTTCCAGAAAGTCAAGCTTGATTCAAAAGAGGATATGGAAGAAGGGATATCACTGATGATGTCAAGTGGATTTTGGCTGAAAGAATTCTAGAAAGATGTTTACCTGTGTTTTATTGACTATGCAAAGGCATTTGACTATGTGGAACATAACAATTAATGGATAACATTGTGGAATTCCAAAACACTTAATTGTACTCATGTGGCACCTATACATAGACAAAGAGGCAGTGACCTGAACAGAACAAGGGTAGACTGCATGGCTTAAAATCAGGAAAGGTTGTGCATTAGTCTTGTATCTTTTCACATACTTATTCACTTATTCACATACTTATTCAGTCTGTATGCTGAACAGATAATCTGAGAAGATGGACTATACGAAGAACAACATGGCATCAGGTTGGAAGAAGATATGCAAGATATCCTGAGATATGCAGATGACAACCTTGCTTGCTGAAAATCAAGAGGACTTAATCCACTTACTGATGGATATCAAAGACTACAGCCTTGGGTATAGATTACACCTCAACGTAGAAAAAAATCCTCACAGCTGGACCAGGAAGCAACATCATGATAAATGGAGAAAAGATTGAAGTTGTTAAGGATTTCATTTTACTTGGATCCACAGTCAACACCCATGGAAGCAGCAGTCAAGATATCAGATGACATATTGCATTGGGCAGATCAGCTGCAAAAGACCTCTTTAAAGTGTTAAAAAGCAAAGATGTCACTTTGAAGACTAATGTGCCCCTGACTCAAGCCACGATGTTTTCAGTCACCTCATATGTATGCAAAAGCTGGATAATGAATAAGAAAGTCTGAAATAGAATTGACGTATTTGTATTATGGTGTTGGCAAAGAATATTGGCAGAAGAAACAAATTTGTCTTGGTTGAAATACAGCTAGAATGCTCCTTAGAAACAACAATGATGAGACTTACTTTGGTCATGTTGTCAGGACCAGTCCCTGGAGAAAGGGCATCATGCTTGGTAAAGTAGAGGGTCAGCAAAGAAGACCCTCGACAAGATAGATGGACACAATGAACACAATAGGCTCAAATGTAG